TGAACCCACGAACCGCGAGATCATGACCCAAGCGAAAGTCGGACGCTTAACCGACTAAGCCACCCAGGCGCCCCGAGATTATGATTTTTTAAATGCTGACTTATTGTGGTAAATTATATGGTTATATTTTGTCATTGACATTTCTTTGAATTACTTGGATAAATCTTACTTTGTTGTGTGATAATACTCCATTAGTATGTTTCTGGGGATCATATACATATGATATTCATTTTTTAAAAATGTTGATTTATTTTGAGAGAGAGAGAGAGAGATTATGTGCATGTGCAATCAGGGGAGCAACACAGAGAGAGAGAGGGAGAGAGAGAATCCCAAGCAGGCTCTGTGCTGTCAGTGTGCAGCCCAATGTGGGACTCAGTCTCACAGATTGTGAGATCATGACTTGAGCCAAAGTCAACAGTCTGAGGCTTAACCAACTGAGCCACCCTACAGCCCCTATAATAATTATTTTTATTTGTAAAAATAACCATTCTCTGGTTTTCTTTTTCATGCTATAGTTGTCACATTTGAGTATCAGTGTTTTGCTTATTTCATCAAAGAAATTTTGAAACTTTTCTTCTTTGTGTTCTGAAACATTTAACTAGAGAAAAGTGTTCTTATGTTATATGTAAGAACATTTTACACCATTATTTCTGTTTTCTTATTCAGGAAAAGTTTTTACATATAGTATCTGCTTTCTATATTCATTTATCATTTTCTCTTTTTCTTTTATCTATTCTAATGTTAGCCTTTATGTTCTGTGATTATATTTTCTTATATATTGCCATTTTTACTATTTCTAATGGAAAATTTGTCATAATTTTATCTTTTCTTCTTGAATATAGTCTATTTATTTATATATATTTATATCTATTTATTTATTTTTATTGTCTTATTTATATTTAATGTCATGTCACTCTTTGTTTTTCTTTCATCAAGGATGTGTGTATGTGTGTGTGTGTGTGTGTGTGTGATTGTGAGGACCACTACTCCTTCTGGTGCTTATTAATTGATTTTTATTTGGTAACTTAATTGTTTTTCATTGTTTATCACACTTTCCCTTAGGGTATATCTGGCCTAGGTACCTAGATTATTGAATGGTGGTTATTTTTTGAAGATTGCTTGCTTGAAAAAAAATAGTGGTAGGGAGTAAGCTGGTATAGCAGACAGATTGAATTTTCTTGTGTGTTAACTTTGAATACTTTCTCATCAACTCTGTTCTGTTCTCTTCCCGAAATTATATATCTCTAAATAGTGCTGTCATAATTCATATTCCAAAGGTTTCTTGGTAGTGATTTGGCATCTATTTTTAATGTGAGTATAGTTGGTATATAAGGTTACATTAGTTTTAGGTGTACAACTTAGTGATTTGGCAAGTGTATACAGTATGTTGTGTTCACCAGAAGTGTAGCTACCATCTGTCCCTTTACATCTCTAGTACAGTATCATTGACTATATTCCTTATGCAGTTGATTTGGCTTCTATTTATTTCTCTTCAGTGACTGAGACAAGCTGCCTTTGTGTTGATTGTTGCTAACATTTATCATCCAACCACCAAAACAACCTGATTCTTAAAAAAAAAAAAAAATGAGTATATGTGTAATCCTTGTCCAACCCTACATTTCATATATATCATGGGTTTTATATACAAAAAATTAGTTGAAGGGAAACAAATAAATACATTATTAACCACCAACGTAGGTACGTTTAATTACCTATTATTACACAGATTTAAACTTAAAATGGAGAATTGGATCATTTTTCCAAGTATATAGAAAGAATTCATCATGCTTATAGTGGCTGACGGATCCTTTATTCTTAGCATGCAAAATTTGTTGATAATGTTTTTGTTGCTATTGCTGCTGACCTGCTTCTTTGTGCTCTGAATATTACATTAAGCAAAGTTCTACTTATTATTGAATTAATTAAAGTATATCCTGGAAGTGCTTTTGAAGAAGTCTTAGCTTTCTGTTTTCTAGCTAACCATACTCTGGTATTTCCATTTGGTCATTGTCACATTTTCTCTTTGGCTCTGTTGTCCATATATTTTATGTTGCCCAGTAGCCGCTCTGATAAGCCTAGTCTCCTAGTAAATACTGGTTTTGCATTTACATATTTCTAAGACTTCACTTATTTCATTGCTTCCACTTAGCTTTTTGTAAGGGGTATCTACCTTACAAGGGAAAGTTTATTGGGGAAAAATGGTTTAATTTTATTTTAACACTCACCATTTTAACAAATCTTTATAATCCCCACCCCCAAGAAGCATACATAATTCATTGTACTGCACAAATATGGAAATACATATCTACCCCTTGAGGACATTAACACATATAAATAAATGTTCACCAATGTATCACTCAGATAAAACACTGGATTTTAGTTTCTCTACTTCAATAATATATAGTGAGCAGTATATCAGTAAAGAAAGTTGTTTTTTTTTTTAATGTTTTATTTTTATTTCCGAGAGAAGGAGAGAGACAGCACAAGCAGGGGAAGGTCAGAGAGAGATACAGAATCTGAAACAGGCTCCAGGCTCTGAGCTAGCTGTCAGCACAGAGCCCGATATGGGGCTCGAACCCATGAACCGTGAGATCGTGACCTGAGCTAAAGTCGGACGCTTAACCAACTGAGCCACCGAGGCGCCCTAGAAAATTGTTTTTTAATTGCATCATGGATTTCTTAATCTTTGTTTCTAGCTTATAATTTACTTTGTAATCACCCTTTTATATCAGCTTCTAATCTTCTTTCAAGCAAACTGTGGTCAAAATCCCTGATTTTAAACTGATTATAGATTGAAGCCCACTCTACTTCTGTAAGAAGCCCAGTTAAGACATATTCATGAGGGTAAACAAGACTGGAAAGCAAATGTAAACCTAGTACCTTCTGAACTCCTTAGGCTTTATCCTGATATTAAATTTGATCACCAGAAAAGCTCAACTTCTGGTCTTTACAAAGTTACAGTTTCATGTTGAAATCTATTGGCTTTTTCTTTTTAACAAAACTGCTTCAAAGACAAGATCCATTATGTTGTTTAAAACCCTTTATGTAAAGTCCCTTGTGACAAATACCTCTTGGAAATAAGAATCAGTGAAGAAGACATTTTTTGATGAATTGTAAAGTGTCCTTCTAGGCTGTGAGTACTTACTATATTGGATATTGTAGTTTTGAGTTTACTTGCTGTACCAAGCTTAGTGCAAAGCCTTACCCTCAAGTGCTGTAGCTTTTCTCAGGCCAGTTGATTTCTCCACTTTTCTATTCCTTGCTAGCAATTCTTAGTTTTATAATATCCATCCTGTGATATTTTTTGTAAGCTAAACTGAAGGATGAAAATATTTACTTTTAAAAATTCCCCCTTTAAGCCAGAATTTCTCAAACCTTGACTTTTTAAAAAAAAAATCTCCATGGCAACTACCCCCTTTTCCTGTCCATACCAGTCATGACTATTTCTGATCCTATTTTTAGACTGGGTTGGGAAATTGGACTAAACTAATACTTCATAGAAGTCTCTATCTTTTTTTTTTTTTTTTCCCCATGAGGGGGAGAGAGTGAGAGCAGGGCAAGGAGGGAGGGTTGGCAGAGTTGGAGAGAATCTTAAATAGGCTCCATGCCCAGCACAGAGCCGATGCGGGGCTTGATCTCATGACCATCAGATCATGACCCGAGCTGAAATCAGGAGTCAGATACTTAGCCCACTGAGCCACCCAGGCACCCCCATAGAAATCTTTTCTTAATCTATCAATCTAAAAATTACTAAGATTAAGATTTTATATAATATTATATATCAGAAATATGAGTATACTTAAATATATTTTACATAAAATCTAGTTATAACTTGGCTCATTTAAAATAATTATTCCATATGTTGCTAAAATGCAATTAAGTAATTTTTTTGATTCTTAGGACTTAACAGTAATATAGGTAAGAAAATACTAAATCATGGAATTAGTATTTTCAAATTTGTTAAATAGTAATGATTTATGTGGATAGCAACCAGTTTTCTACTTAAATTTCTTTTATTTCAATGTCATATTTAGAAACTGCTATATGTTATTGATTAATTTTAGATCACAAAAGTCTTAAAGTGTCAAATTTTGTGATTCAGTAATTTGAAATTAAAATTGATAAATTTGGACATGTCAAGTTCTATTTATTCCTTTTTAGAATGTGGTTAATAATTACATATCAAAAAGTTCAGAAATGCATTAAGCTGTTGATTTTCTTAATACCTTTGCACTAAGGGAAGACATAATATGCATGTTGGTATTTATTACTGCTTTCTAACACCATGGGTTCTCCTGGGGAAAGGAGAGGACCTAGGATGTGAGTGCCCATCATTGTAATGATGCCCATTGCACTCAATACTCTATCTTCCTCTTCATCTCCTTTGAAGGATGTCAGTTATTTCTGGTACTGAAGGAGTATCACAGTTAGGTTGCTTCTTGTCTATGACTACTATCCTTCTGCTCTTAAGGGATACTGTGGGATTTGCTTACATATTAACTACAGAAGGAATTACAAACTGAATCCAGATATTGGAAGGTGCTCTGAAGTGTAACTAACCAAAGAAAGAGCCCTCCAGAAGACTGAATAAAAACTAGTAGTATTCCAGAGAGAGAGACACAGGGACAGAGACAGAGATAGTGACAGGGACCTCAGGAAAAATCTTCTTTGAATTGTCATGTCATTGTCAGTTCACATTCTAAAGGTACAGGATGAGGATTCTGACGGGCTTACTTCTAGAGGAGAAACATATGACACCTTTAAACTCCAGAAAAATAAACAATGTCAGACCAGATTTGACATCAATGAAAACCATTATATTCTTTCTTTGTTTTAATCACCTTATTCAATTCTGCTTCTATATCAAAGACTGAAAATACTTCATTTCCATGGTTGCTGAATTTTTTTACTATGATGAATATTTGTAATTAAACTCTATTTACAATATTTGTTAATAAGATTATAGAAAATTACCCAAGTTTTTAATTTTTTTTTTTCAGGGTTGAAAATGTCTAAGTACATTGATTATGGTCAGTTGAATGAATTGTGCCATAAGAGAGAACTACAATCTAGGTAAGTTATTCATATGTTTCTTTTTCTATCATTCAAATGAAGAAGAACATGTTAGTTTTATGTATAATGTATTGTAATAAACATTGTTGACTTCATAGGTCCTTGGTTTACCACATAGACAAAAACATTTGAAAACCTGGAGGTTATTTCTTGAAATCGAAGGGACAGAATATATGTTATATTTTAAGGAAACAATTGGGTATGAAACAAATATAATTCATCCTTATCTGGGCCCTTTTTAGTACTTAGTCATAAGGGAACAAAGCTTTAAATGGTTGAAAACACAAATCCTGAATGAAATAAGTACTTTAGCAGTGCCCAGGAAATGCCTCATTGAAATATACTGGAGCAAAAGAACTAGGAAATATTTGGGCTCAAAGCTCAGGATTCCTAAGGTATGTGACACTTGATGATATAATTTTTATTTACTTATTTTTTAATTTTTCATGTTTATTTATTTATTTTGAAAGAGAGAGAAAGGCAGGGAGAGATAACATGAGTGGGAGAGAGGCAGAGAGAAGGAGAATCCCAAGCAGGCTCCACACCATCAGTGCAGAACCCAATATAGAAGCTCAAACTCACAAACCTTGAGATCATGATCTGACTGAGTTCAGGATTTGGATGCTCAACTGACTGAGTCCCCCAGGCAACCCTGAAGATAGAGTTTTTTAAAAATTTATTGTCTTGCCAATTCCTTTTCCCAAGTTGGATTATTGAAATTATAAAAGTAATTATTTGCTTACATAATAGTCAGTGTCCATCCACTCCCCCACTTTCCTTTACTAAAAGAAGACCTTTTCTCATCTTTAATGGGACTGCTGAGCAAATGCCTCAACAGTACAGATTTTCTGTCTCTACTTTAAAATATCTGTAGGGATGCCTGGGTGGTTCAGTTGGTTAAGCATCTGACTCTTGGTTTTGGCTCTGGTCATGATCTCAAGGTTCTTGAGCTTGAATCCCATCAAGGTTCTCAAGATTGAGCCCTGTGTCAGACACTGCACTGACAGCATTGCGCTTGCTTGGGATTCTTTCTCTCTACCCCTTCCCCAGTAGTGCTCTTGCTGTCTCTCTCTCTCTCTCAAAATAAATAAACTTAAAAAAGTCTCTGTAAGTCACATCCTGTTAATTAATTTCATTATGATAAGCGCACTCCTTAATTGCCATCACCTATTAGCCCCATGCTCCCACCCACTTCTCCTCTGGTAACCATCAGTTTCTTTTCTGTAGTTAAGAGTTTGTTTCTAAGTTTATCTCTCTCTCTCTCTCTTTTTTCCCCTTTGCCTATTTATTTTGTTTCTTAAATTCCACATATTAGTAAGATCATATGGCATTTTGTCTTTTTCTGACTTATTTTGTTTGGCATTCTACTCCATCTGTGTTGTTGCAAATGACAAGATTTCATTCTTTTTGATGGCTGAATAATATTCCATTGTATATATACCATGTGTTCTTTATCTATTTACCTATCAGTGAACACTTGAGCTGCTTCCATAGTTTGGGTATTGTAAATAATGCTGCAATAAACATAGGGTACATGTATCCCTTCAAATTAGTGTTTTGTAATTTTGGGGTCAATACCTGGTAGTGCAATTCTTGGATTATAAGGTAGTTCTATTTATAACTTTTTGAGGAAAGTCCATACTGTTTTTTGGAGTGGCTGTACCATGTAAGAGGGTTATTTTTTCCCTACACTCTCAACAATACTTGTTGTTTCTGGTGTTTTTTTTTTTTTTTTTATTTTATTGTAGTTTTGATTCCAAATTATTTAGAGACTTTAATTGATCTTCCCATTTCTTCTTTTTAAGAGAAAGAGAGGAGGACATGCTTCTTTTATATTCCTTGGATTTCTCCCAAGAATGATTTTTTTTTCTCTATGCACTTATACTTCCTCCTCACTCTCAGTTCCTTTCAGGACAGGATGAAGAAATTCCAGAGTCAGGTCACCTGGTTTGAATCCTTTCTCAGCCACTTACTGGCTGTCCAATCTCGGTTTGGTTACTTAATTTCTCTTTACCTCAGTTTTCTCATTTTTAAAATGGAGATAATAATAGTACCTATATTACAGTTATTAAGATGATTATATGAAGTAATATAAGTAAAGTAAGCAAGGCCTGGCACACAGTGAAAGCTATATGAATGTTATGCTTTAAATTATTATTGCTATTAAAAAAGACTCATGCAAGTTTTTAACTGTTGAGCTTATCTTGTATACTGATCCCTTTTCTAACACATAAGAAGCTAAAGCTAGTTAAGGCTTTTGGAGCTGAACTTTTTAATTTTCTCCTTTCATTTTCCTTTTTTTACTTTTTAGCCCAGACATAAAATAAACAAAAACCAAAGAAACCAAACATGTTTCTAGACCTACCCCTCCCCATCCCCCACCTTGGGTGATCATAGTAAGAGAGGGTGAATCATCTATATGTGGGTCTGTCAAAATATCTATTTTACATAAATATTATCAGCCTTCATCTTTCTGGTTTGATAATCCTTCCTAAGTAGTATTCTCTCATCAGACAATAAGCTGCTGTAAATCCAGTCTGGTTGTCCTGCCTGACTCCCTTTTGTTGAGTCCTACATTTACTGTGCCTTCTCTTAGACACCAAATCCCCAGAATTTTTGGATGTTTTCTTTTGAGGCACTGGTGATACGAGAGGCCTGGGAGAGGGCATGTTTTAGGGCACCTGTATACATGTTTTGGGCTTAGGTTTAGAAAAGGAATATAAGATTACAAATACAAACATAGATATGAAAATGAGTATTTTCTTAGATAAGAAAATAGACTACAACAAATTAATGATGGCTTGTCAATCCAGCTCCTTTTTCCCACTGAGATTTTTTTATGCAGTTTATTGGAAAGACATACATTGGATTCTTTCAAAATTACAAAGCTTTTAATTGTAAAATACAAAATTGGGAAGAGATATAAGAAGAATGTATTCCTTCATATTTATTTAGTCTTTATTTGTTAGATGTTAAAAATGACCAATGAAATATTCTTCCTCTGTAATAGAAAAAGAAAGGCTGAGAATTAAATGACTCAAGGAGTGAAATTTTTGTACATGAAACCTACCAAGGATTTGACTATAGATATGTATCTACATATCTCTATCTCTGTCTCTGTCTCTGTCTCTATCTCTATCTCTATCTTCCTCTTCTTATATGTCTTCCTTATGGTTGTCCTTCCTTTGGCGCATGGTAGGAGAATGGAGGGGAGGCTGCTACTCTCTACCACCTCCCATGTGACTCTACCCTGTACTCAATGGCAGTTGTTGAAGCTGTTCCTGTCCTCTGTCTGGACATATGAGAGCTCTTCTTAATGGAGGAAGAAGAGCTTACTGGAAGGCACCCTTGTGCCTGCGTGTCTATAAACTTTGTACAGAAAGCAAGCCCCTCTGTGTGGTGGCTGTTGTCCATATGCATGTGGTCAGTCAGTTGGTGTCTGTCTGATGTTTTTTCTCTGAGAATAAAGATAGTATATTGGTATATTATTCTGGATTTTTTTTTTATCATGAGTAAAATAAAATTGAGTAACAAAGAGGGATGATGTCACTTTTTTCAAATTCTTGGATGTTGGACATTTTATCTCTAGTAGACTATATATGTTCCATAAGGGCAGAAGATTTATTTTATTGCTTCCTACCCCGAGACATTTAGTATAGAGTTCAAGGTTTTGAATTAAATTACACTCTGATGTTCAGTAGAAATAACTATCTTCTTGATGCTTAAAAAAAAAAAATATATATATATATATATAAATACATATTAATATACATATGGGTTTTCTACCTGTGTTGATTAGGAGGATAAGTACATATTTATAGTGTATAATTTTTATTTTATTTTTTTAGTGTTTTCTAGAGAGCTAATGATTTTTAAACATTTTTTTTAAAGCAACTTCTGTTGTTTGACATTCCAATTCTTCCTGGACTATATGCTTTGGAGATTGTTTTCCTGTTGTCAAAGTACTTTGTGATCAGTCAGCTCTTATGTTTAAAGTTCAATTTATCTAGTTATAAACACGGTAAAATGGTTAAAAAGGAAATATATGTTTTCCTAAGTGTCAGACAAACAAACAAACAAACATGAGGCTACATATTTGCAACTACATTTTCTTATGTGACCAGTTATTCTTGTAATTTCAGGCAAAAACCTTTAAACATGTCTGAATTTGGAAATATAAGACACAAATACAGTTATGATGCATATGCATTTGTGCATTTATATAAGAATGGTGTTAGACAATTAGCTTTGTGAGTGGGTTATAGAGTTTAATATTTATTAGTGATTAATATTACTAACATATAGCCACTTATTTTCAAATATGAATGTTGCTATACTGACTGTATACTTTTTAGACTTACAGAAATTATAACTCATAAATCAGTTTTAGCCCAAAGTTCATTTAAATAATTTTTTTAAATATTTATTTTTGAGAGAAAGAGAGAGACAGAGCACAAGCTAGGGAGGAGAAGAAAAGGAGGGAGACACAGAATCTGAAGCAGGCTCCAGGCTCTGAGCTGTCAGCACACAGCCTGAAGTGAGGCTCAAACCCATGAACTGTGAGATCATGACCTGAGCTGAATTCAGATGCCTGACAGACTGAGCCACCTATGCATACCAGGCCAAAGTTCATTTTTAAGTTGACTATTTAGCATCCGTCGTTCCCCAAAGTCACAATATTATAGAGTCAGAGGATTGTAGAACAGAAAGTTAACTCATAAATCATCTAGTGGAAACTCCTTAACATACAGATGATTAACTTTGCCTAATTTTCCTAAACTGTATCTTTTAATTTTATGCTTTTATAATAAAAAGAGGAATATTATGTGATTAAAGTTATAGTAATCAATAAAAATACAAAAAATGACATTCAATAGTTGGTTCTTTCTCATTGCTTCAGGTTAAGGTAAAGTACATTAAATTAGTAGAGTATTAAAAACTGATAGAGACAATATAAATTATTTTAAGATGGTTCCTGGTCAAGGTTAAGACTTTTAGAG